TTCTTGATGCTCTGCAGAAATGTCTCGTTAATTTTTCCCTTTTTTTGCTGTAAAACGTCTGATTGTAAACCTGAGAGGTTCAGTAAAAGTGAACTGGACTTGTCTTTGTGTTTATCTTGAAGATGTTTCACGTCCAAAAAGGCTTCTTTAGTTCTGGAGAACTGAACATTAAAAAATAAACAGAAGTCCTGTTAGTGTTTAGTGAAGCTTTTAAGAACGACCTGCATGACTGAGTGATTTGTCCATGTGAGCATGTTATTGAGCATAATCTGATGTCCAAGTGATTAAAAAATAAATAAATAAAATCCTGGTTTGCAGAGTCATGACTGAACATTAATTGAGCGCATCCTTGCAGCAGGGGGCGCCAGAGATCCACAACACGTTCTCCTCTGCCTCATTCACAGAAAAACAAGAGCTCAGAAAAACTTTAATAAAATCTACTCGTAAACACAGAAGACACTGGAGCAGCTTGTTTCACACTTCACTCGTGCTTCACTTCATTAATGTTCTTCTGTGTTAAAATCTGCTTAATAAAAAAAGAAATGATTGCACTTGTTCCTACAAGGTCAAAACAGATTCTTTCTGCCAAAGCAGTGAAGTCCATAAATTCATAAAGTGACAGAATGGAAACACTGAGCAGGACTCGGACTGGGATTTGTGTTTGATGCGCCGTCTGACCGGCAGCTAAAGGTTAAATGCGTTAATTAGGGTCCGAGGACCCCTACTTGCTGCAGCAAGCAGGCGGGCAAGGACCCTATTGTTCCTGCTTCGTTTCCTTCTTTCTTTCTTTATTCTTATTCGCCTGACGAACACGTTTGCCTTAATTTGACCCCCTAAACACGCTCAAAAACTCACCAAAATTGGCATGCACGTCCGAATCGGCGAAAAATTTGATAAAATGAAAAAAAAAAACAAGAAAATGCTCTCTAGCGCCACTTGGTTACAGAAAAACCCACTAAAATTGACCTAGCGTCCAGTAGGAATGTCGTACAGAGATCAAACCAACACCAAAATGTTCGTCTCAATGAGACCCACAAATCTCATGCTGACACCTCTGACCTATCTCCAACAGGAAGTCCACAATTTGCCTTTCAAAGTAAAAAAATCTGTGAAAACTTTTTTGGGGAAAAAATGATTTTGTCTGACACCGTAAATCGCACCAACTTGAAAATCGCACAGGAGACAGAGAAGGCCTCGATGTACAAAAGCTCTGAAGGGATTTGGTGTTTCTCAACCGGTTTTCAAATGGCGAGCCGCTAAAGTTGATGAGCTGTTGCAGCCTCGGCTCATATTTTGTATGGGTGTCCATGGGGCATGTGC